GATCGCGGTGTAAATTTGGAGTTACAAAGAAACCTAGATTTAAAAAAAAAAAAAATTCCAAAATAAATGCTTTCATTGAATATTAATACGGGAAAATTCGTGCGAGCCGTTTACCTCCACGGCGCGTCGAGTGGGGCAAAGTGGGTTATGTTCCCGAGAAGGTCAAAATCCTTCTTAACTACGAGGGGAGTAGAGTGGGTGATTTGGGATTAGGACCAAAATGGGATTGTCTCGGGAAGGTCAACGGGAAGTATTTTAACGGGCACGCATTAATTGAACACAAAACAATTGGTTTCCGGGAAGGTCGAAAAGCTATACGGCAAAGTGCAGTCACTAATTTAGAGCGAAATAGGGTTATTTACAACCACTAAACTGCAAACGGGCAAAGTCATGGACAAATTCGCGGGTAATATAGCTATGTTTGAATTTTACTAATTTGCATAATAAATCATTTGATCTGACAAAAAGAGTGGCCCGGGCAACGCCGGGCGGCACAGCTAGCATAATATTGTATACTATTATAATGTCCCATGTATGTATAGGTACTCGTATAGGTACATATTGTCCGTGTTTATAAGAAACGAATCCGGTCTTATTTCGCACCGTGGACAGGCTACTGTTGTAGACGGGAAGAACATTTTTAGCGAATGTATTATACTGAAAGTGACGGTGAACCGTAGTAATAAAAAAGCGATTCTAAACGGAATTTGGTAAACTATAATGGGCTGGACACGCGCGGAGTAGCTCGCAAAACGCACTATAATATACGTACTCCTTTGGGCAATGCTGGAACAGAACCGGATATTGGGAAACGACCTTCGAGAAGGTCGGAATACTACGGGTGTACCGGATCTTTGAATCTCGGAAGCTGTCGGCAACGGATATTAGACAACTATTGATAACGGCTGAAGTCCCGCGGAGACGAGTCCGAATATCTTAAATAATATATTAGTAATACGACGTTACGGAACCGTATTTATAATACGTATGTACGTGTGCGGTGTGCACGATATAACGTACGTGTAGGTACGCATAATATAATATTTTAAGTACACGGTATATTTCATCTTCGAAATGACACTTTTTTTTATGTTCGGTTGGTCATAAAAAAAAAAAAAAACCGTCACGGCGGCACACACACACACGCGCGCGCGCGCACACACATGCGCACGCCGAATTAGCTTATATTATTATTATTATTATTATTAAACGGACGTACACAATGGGCTACCGAATACCGGTAGCTGCGTCAGTATAACAGAGAACAGAGTATACAGAAATATATATTATTTTTATATTATATATTATTATGTATATACATTATAAACGACTATACGAGCTGCTACTGAACGAGAATACGCGTCTTCTTCTTTTTTATTATTATTATCGGCGGTGGGCGTTGGTCGCCGCCGTTCTTTTATGGGACACCGCCGAATATGACAATTTATATATTAAGTGTAATATTCCACGTGCGTTATGCATATAAAACGACGGGGAAAAAAACATCACGAAACGCGTTTATTTAAAAAAAAAAAAAAAAGGAATAATAATACCTGCTGTTTATGCATATTTTTACTAAACGTTTATTTATATTTTTTTACTACGCCGCCGTCGGCGTATATTTACGCATGCGTCCGTACAGATATCGTCGTGAAGTCGCGGACCGTCGTAAAACGAACGCGGTAACCTGTTTGCGCCCGTCAAACGTCGATAATAATTCGAAAATCGCCGAAATACGAATCGGTTTTCGTCCATTCTCGCACAGGCTGTCGAGTAAACACGGACCGGATTCTCGATACAACACTTTTGAGCGTTCGGCGAAAGAACACAAATTTACTATATTCTTATATCTTACGCGAGTATCAGAATATCATACGGTACCGGTGTGAGGGATACAGGTCAGTGTCGGGAAAGTTGCTTTTAAAAAGGAATACTCGTCTCCCCGTTATTCATCGTTCTTACCGGAAAAAAAAGGAACTGAAAATTGTTTTATTATTATGATTTATTATTAATACCTAGTGTAAAGTCCAAACTAAATTGTTTTTATTATAAAAAAAACTAATGATTAATTCGCTTTGCTAGTATGCTTTATGGCAGTGATGCAAACAGTAAATAATTTCTATGAAATGTTATAACCGCTACGATTGTAAGTAAATTGAAAAATCGAAGAAAAAAGAAACGATTATTTGCGTTCACGTTTCTAATAAATGGGCACTGTTTTTCGTTTCTCTACTAAATTTTTCAAATTTCGCCAACTTATATCAGTTATTCAATATATTCTACTGATGCGCGGTCCCTATATTACAAACAGTGTTGAATTCAGACAGTTTTTCTGCGAGATGTATTACTAAAATTATTGTGATGACCTTTGTTTGCTTTTGGTACTCTCTAACCAAGACCACCGCAGTAAAATGTTCGTTTAATTATTAACTGACTCACATCTAACAGGGGTGTCGAACAAAATTCTAGGAGGGCCATCACCCCCCTTCTCCTGTCACATACTTGGATTCAACACTGGTTGCGGGTCTGTGCACTGCATTCTGTACGACCTGCCGGAGCAAGACAAAACCATTTTGATCGTTTTAAATTCCGTGACAAACGATATTGTAATACACTATATTGCCCCCCCCCCCCGATAAATAGTATCCAGCCTGTTTGTGAGTCCCGTCAGTCATAGTTTGATAAACGAGGGACGAGACGGTGTGAAACACGGGCCGCCGATGGTGTTTATTGTACACCGACGCAGTGGGTGCGTTGCTCATTACGTCGTTATTTATTGTTACGGGCTGCGGCCGAAACTCGATTGCGGTACGCGCGACCGGCGTCTCGCTGTTTGCCCGCCGACCGCAAGAAAATACGTGCGCTGCGCATCATTGTTCGAAAATAATAATAAACAAATACGGATTTCGGAAATCCGATAAAGACTTTGAATTTGCCGCACGAGTGACGACGACGACGACCGCCGCCGGACCTGCGGCGGCGCGACAGGATGGCCGCGCGGCACAGAATAAAAGCGGTCACGACGGCTCGCGCGCAACGGGGAATGGGATCCGGAAAGCCGCGCGTACGTGTGCACGACGGTAGTATTACACAATACACGCAGGTACGCGCGCTCGCGGCGCGTGTGCATTCTCGAACTTGCGAAGCGTGTGCGGCGACGCTCGGCCGGCGTCGAGGAGGTGCTCGGCAGCGGACGGCGTGACGATGATTTATGACCGCGGCGACCGGGGATGGGGGGGGGGTGGTGGTGGTTGGTAACCGCTTGATTATCGCCGCCCGGCCCCGGAGACGGCCGCCGACGCGCGTTCGACGAGCCGCCGCCGTGCGGTTGACGTATTCGCGGACCGACGTCTCGGCGTTCGGGCCAAGCGGGTACGCGGATAAAACCGGGGGCCGCGAATATCGAAAATTCCGGAACGCGCGCGTTTAGCGTACCGGCCCGTTATAGTCGCGCGAGAAAACCGATACGCGTTCGATTTCAACAATCGGTGTTCCTGACGCAATCGACTGTCGTAGTGAAAGGTAAAGCCTTCGCTTGAAATGCTTGAAATGTGCGCGCGACGCGGTATTTTTCGATTTCCTTGTAGTAGCTCGGGGAAAACCCGAGAAAAACTTTTACATTCACACGATAACGGTTTTCGTTCTATTCGATTGGGGTTTCTTTTTCTTATTGTCACAGGCCAGAAATCGCCCCGTATATTTATGTGCACACACTCTTATACGTGGCTCTTGCCAAACGTACGAGTACAAATTTGAAAACATTCTGGCAGTTTTTCAGTAATTTATAGCCGTTTTAAAGGTCAGACTTTTTTTTTTGCCCGGCGAAAATTTAACACGCGGTTTATCGTGTGTTCAATTTTTAGTAACAACAAATCGAACGTAATCCAGTCAATTTTTATAATCGTTTTATGTTCAATTTCATTTAGCGAAAACGCATTTTCATAAAAATATGTTGGTACGTTCCATACTGTTGTAGACTGTTGTGTGTGTGCCAACGCTCTCCAATAAATGCGAGTACGGCAGATCATTACGAACGTCACTTTTCTTGTGGAATACGTGAGCATTGAAATCAGTCCAGCCGTTTAGGAGGAGTTCAGTGACATATACATGGACATGAGAAATATATACCTATGTATAAAGATGCATTTTGTGACTTTTAATTTTTTTCTTCAAACAGTTCAAAAGTCAGATAATTTCGTGATCGGGTACCTATTTAACTTTGTGATACTTTTCAGGTAATTCCACGAGTACACGAAAATTTACATTTTTCATTTAGATAAGAACGAGAAAAAATATGAATTAAGAAAGTATAATATAAAAAAAAAAATGTCAACATTTCAGAGTTCGTAATAATACAATTTAGTGAAATTATATTAGTACTTACTACTGACGTATACATTTTCATTATAGTAGGTTTATATTATTATATATATATAAAAAAGTAGAGCGTAATTTTATAATTTTGTTTAATGATCAAATTTTGAAGAAAATCATAAATATTACAGCCTTACAAATCATATATAAACAAACCTTGCTCAGATTCGTCTTTCATTAGCATTTGTGTATCGTTGCTTACAGATATAAATTAATCAATTTAATGTATCTTACATACCAAATTTCCCACCTACAAACAATGGTGCACTCATCAGCAATATCAGGTCTTGAAGCGCTTCAAGTTTACTTTCGTATTATAAATGTTATGCCTATGACTTTAACAGCAGTACCCTATCATTTTTTTAACCATGTTGCCCCTTGTCTTTTCCCTCAGCTCTTATCGGATCGGGCCAAAAATATAAACACATAATATGTCCGTTTAAATACTATATTATTGCAAAGTTGTTAAATTGTATATTCTTATTGATTTTATTTCTATTGATTTAAAACACTGAAAGAATCGTTTATTTTAAAAACTCTTTTTTAAAAAAAACTATGCTATGGATTTACTGGCTGCCTTTCGATCACCACGTCTCGATTTTTTATTGTAATATGTCCAATACGGACTATTTCTTCTTTTCCTTCATTGCAATTTCGGCCTTCTTTATCGAACTTTTTACTGCAGCTGCAGCAGTCACAACCGCCGTGGCCATTATCCCCGCGGCTGTGGTCACCGCTTCCACTGCATTTGACGCCTCAGCCACCGCCGTCTCAACAAAATTTGTTGCCTCAGTTATCACCGTCCCCGTTACAATTGGCACCTCTGCCGCAATTATCTCCGTCACATTTGACACTTCAGCTGCTAACACCACCATATCTGACGCAATATTTGACACATTATCCGTCATAGTTTTCTCAAAGTTCTCTTTTTGTTCTTGCATGTTGTTATCAGACATTTTATCTCGTTGAACGTATTGCTGCAGAATACTCGGCCCGCTATTTGTGTCTTATAAACGTTGAGGATACTGCTACGGGGCAGAGACAACATTTACGAAAATTAATCGGTCTCTGTAATTTGTTTTTTTATCAAATTCCGTCTCCGTTGACGACGACGGAATAATGTCAAACAAGCTAATTATGTTGGTAGCGGTATTTTGTATTTCAATAAACGATGGCAGAAATAGTAATGTTTACTCGGATAACACAGATGTTCCACTGCTTTCAGTTCACACCAGGAAGAAAAACTGTTTTCAGGGAAATTGTCAATATTTCGTTTAGGACCTTAAACAACCTAGCGCTGGCACTGTATACCTTTATGCGCCTATTAAAAAGTCGGTATCGGACAAAATATTTCCTGATACCAAAATATGACATTCAAACATATTTGAACTGCCGAATATTCTCGATATTAGGTAAAGTCGACCACGCAGTATCGGATGACATCGGTTACAACGTTAGAATATCCATTTCAGATTTACCGCGTTTGGGTTGTTTTATATAAAATCACCGGCGTGTGCAGTGAGAGGAGGTTAGGGGTTATATCCTTATCAAATTTTGGAGGTGATTATAAACTCCGAACTACACTCCCGGTTGCGTAACCATCTCTGTACATTATCGCTTTCCGTCGAAAATTAAAAAAAAATTCTTAATATTTGTTCACTTATACCTGCATTTCGAAAGTTTTCCCGTTGTTTCCCATTTATTGGGAAAATGTGTAAGAAAATCAAGAAATGACGTCTCCGGAGTAACTTCTCAATCAGATTCCGTTTCAGAAAAATTGTCATTGTTGTAAATCGGAGCAAAATCGCCGGTCGTTGACAGGAAAACTAATGGCCATAATATTTTTTTCATCAATAGGTAATCTAACTTCGTACGTTTTCCCGTTTTTCCTCGGTTTTTTTTTTTTCAGTTTTTCCCAATTGTCGGGAAAACTACTGGGAAAAACAAAACATGACCCGCCTATCTTGTAGTACTTATCCGGTCGGATTCCCTTTTAGGAAAAGTGCTGCGTACGTAAATCGGAGCAAGACGTCTGGTAGAAACGTCGTCCACGGGGGGGAAAGAAATACGTAAAATCAAAAATAATTCGCTTCGCGCATACGCCGCCCGCGAACGTTCTCTTTAACGTTGTAATAACAGTCGGCCGCCGGAGCGTACGACGCGCGTACCTGAATACACACGCGAACCCGAGTACGGCCGACCTAACCCAATCTAACCGATAATGACCCGACGACGCCGCGCGATTACGACGGTCGTCAAAATACGTCCCGCGGTCCTCGCGACGAGCGTTTTTCGATTTCACGGCCGTCGCCGCGTCGTTTTCGCCGCGCGTCGGCCGCACACTATGGACGCGACGGTGACGCGCGCGGGGCTCAGCAACAATAACGCGCGGTTATTTGCTCTCGCGTGCGTACCACAATCCGTGGAGAAATCGCGACAATCGCTATAACGGCAGGCGATATTCTCCGGGAAACGTTACGAACCGTAAAACGCAGGCGAACGGCGGGTACGCATTGTCGGTGTATAGGGTGTACCCGGTGTAGGTGTGTACATAAATGTATAAATAATAATAAAATGTACACACATTTGTGTACGCGGACGCGCGTTTCTTTTGCGGCGCGGTCGGATATTCGGCGGCGGCTTTTTTTCTTCTTTTTTTTTTTTTTTTTTTTTT